ATTGTGAGAAGCGGGGGCACATTGCGAGAGTCTGCCGAAACAAAAAGAGCTATAGTCCAAAAGGAAAAGGCAGTACCCCCCCCCCCCCCTAGAAACAAAGAAACATCAACCAGAAGTCATTGGAGCTGAGACGAAAAAAATCAACGACTCGACAAAAAGGAAGAAACGCATCGAACAATCACTATCGGATCAGCCAGAACAACAAACACTAAGAAGGTTCGAATCAACGTCCTGATAGAAGGCGAGCCATGCGAAATGGAAGTAGACTCCGGCTCGTATTTATCAATGGTATCATGGAACACAATAAAAAGTTTGATACCAAACATAAAACATAGAGAACTTGAAGAGCAAAGTCTGATCATCAGGGACTACCAAGGCAACAAGATACCAGTAGTGGGACTGGGACATTTTACAGTAAAATTCAAAAAACACACCGAGATTCTTCCATTAACCATCGTTGACAGCCTGCTCGGGTTGGAATGGTTTGAACCGCTCGGAATCGAAGTGACAGGAATCAACAGCGTCACCATGACGGACCGGGAAAAAGACCTGATGGAAGAATTCCATGACGTATTCGACGGGACCTTAGGCAAGTACCGTGGGACCCCCATATCATTTAGCTTAAACCCGAATGTAGCTCCCATCAGGCTTAAAGCCAGACGGGTACCATTTGCACTAAGACCAAAAATTGACGAACAACTAAACAAACTAATCGCTCAGGGGGTACTAGAGCCAACCGACCATGCCAGATGGGAAACCCCAATTGTGACCCCTATAAAACCTGACGGGTCCGTGCGTATCTGTGGTGACGATAAGGCCATCCTGAACCATGCATTGCAACAGAGCGCATACCCCGTACCGGTAGTCCCACCTGTTGCATTCATTGGGGAAAGGCAGGATTTTTGCAAAGCTCAACCTCGCGCAGGCGTATCAACAATTACCCGTTGATCCTGAGACAGCAGAGGCACAAACCATCGTAACCCATAGAGGAGCTTTTAAATGTAATAGATTACAATTCAGGGTAAGCGTGGCCCCTGGCGTTTTCCAGAGCCTAATGGAACGCCTCCTACAAGAACTAAAAGGGGTGGTACCCTACTTCGATGATGTATTAATTTCAGCCGAAAACAAAAAACAGCTAAAAGACCGATTGAGGGCAGTTTTGACAAAATTTAGAGAAGCAGGACTCAAAGTTAAAAAAGAAAAATGCCACCTTGCCACAAACCAGGTCGAGTTCCTGGGATACCTTATTGATGAAGCAGGAATCCACCCCACAAAAAAATAAATAAATACGAGCAATAAAGGAAGCTCCCAGACCCAAAAACAAAGCAGACTTACAAGCATTTTTGGGACTCATTAATTTTTATCATGTCTTTCTGCCACAGAAGGCAACAGTAACGGAACCACTGCATAGACTCCTCGATAAAAAAGCCAACTGGAAATGGGGCCACCAAGAGGAAACAGTGTTCCAAAAAATCAAAGACTTAATCACATCAAAATCCGTATTGATCCAATACAGTGACACACTACCTCTAACTGTCACCTGCGACGCTTCACCTTTCGGCATAGGCGCAATACTCAGCCACACATTACCAGATGGCAGAGAAGCACCGATCGCCTTTTATTCCAAGACGCTATCCAAGACCGAAAGAAACTACAGCCAACTGGACAGGGAAGCCTTGGCAGCCATCTCGGGGGTGAAATGTTTCCACGAATACCTATACGGTAGGACATTTTCTTTAATTACCGACCACAAACCGCTATTAGGAATCCTAGCCGGAGACAGGGCCACCCCCAACATCCTCTCTCCAAGGATGACTAGATGGTCAGAATTTCTGGCAGCTTACAATTACAAACTCATTTATCGCCCAGGGAAAGCCATATCCAACGCAGACGCGTTAAGCCGCCTACCACTTCCAGGGCACGATGACGATCCAGCTCCCACTACACAGACCCTACAAATTGAGACCATCCCAAATTGGCCCATCACCGCATCGGACATCGCAAGGGAAACGGCGAAAGATGCATTGATGGCCCGAATATTGAACTGGGTGGGACGGGGCTAGCCAGAAAACATAAAAACCGAGACTTTTAAACCTTTTAAAAACCGGCAAACTGAATTATCAATTGAAAAAGGGTGCATTTTGTGGGGAGACCAGATGGTTGTTCCTAAAAAATTACAAGAAGACATGCTAAACATGTTACACGAAGGACACCCCGGCATGGTAAAGATGAAGTCCCTGGCCAGAACCTACGTTTGGTGGCCAGGATTAGATAAAGACATTCAAACCTGGGTTAAAACATGTAACAAATGCCAATCATCCAGACCCACCCCGCCTCCAGCACCAGTCCTTGACTGGGAGACACCCAGAGGCCCCTGGTCAAGAATCCATATGGACTTTGCCAGCCCCACAAAAGGATATACTTACCTAATCATTGTGGATGCATATTCCAACTGGTTGGAAGTCATTATCATGAATTCAACAACGACAGAAGCCGTCACTAAACAACTTAAAAAACTTTTCGTCACCCACGGTCTACCAGATGTAGTAGTATCGGACAATGCGCCGCAGTTTACAGCCTTGGCTTTTGAACAATTCCTAGTGGAACATGGAATATGACACGCTTTGACAGCGCCAGCTCATCTGGCGGCGAACAGAAGAGCGGAACGCATGGTTCGTTACACGAAAGAAGCATTGGAAAAGCTTGACGGAAACGATATGCAAGAAAAAATCAACACCCTGCTCACTATCCAACACATAACAACATGCACGGCCACAAACAAGAGCCCGGCTGAATTGCTGATGGGAAGAAAGTTGCGTTCCTACTTGGACAGACTGCACCCCACTTACAACCCCGAAAAGCCACCAGACTCTTCCAGTAAGTACCGCTCTTTCCTACCAGGCGACTTAGTATATGCAAAAAACCTTACCGGAGAACCATTGTGGTTACCAGCAACAATCACACAAATCACGGGCCCTCGTTCCTACCGGCTAGAAACAGCTGACGGCAGATCGTGGAAACGACACATAGACCAGCTACAGTCACGACACATCGAACGAGACACTGATGTTCCCCGGAGCACGGAACAAACATTTTCTCAAGCACCTCCTGATAATAATAAAAAATCCAGAGGGGGGGAACCATTTAATATTAAAGAAAATGAAAATCATCCAGTTACAAAGTACCAACCGGAAACAGAGAACCCAGAAAAAATTAAAACTCACTTACCATTAGAAGACTTCAAGGAAAAAGAACTTCAGAGAAGAAGCAGCCCAGCCGACGCTACCTGCCCGCACACAATGCAAGGAGACCACTCCGCCTGTCCAACAAACCCAGGGCACAGCGAAAGCCCAGTCAACCCAACAAGGCATGGCGAGAGCGGCATGGCTGAGGCGCCCTTCCAGGAGGTTCCTTGGAGAAGACTGGGAAGGACAGCAGGCCTGTCCGAACCAGTGGAGATCAACACAGGAACTGAACTGCGCAGGTCAACTAGGACTCACAAGAGCCCCGCCTACCTGTGCGACTACGTCACGTAACGTTGGAGCAAACCAAGAGGGGACGGGTGTACTGTATTCAAATAAAGACTTCTAGGACTACATTCCTATTGGTTAATAAATGCAATGAAACGATTGGTTAATAACGACAGTTACTGATTGGCCGCCTAAAGCGGCGGGAAGTTTAAATAAATGCCATTGGTTGCGAGCCGCGAGCAGCCGCTATAAAAAGGGCTGCCGCGGCTCGACTTTAGTTGAAGTTACTGGTTTACTAATAAAGAATCGAATTCAACTCCGGTCTTCGAGTCTCTTATCTGGCGATAGAACATCGGTCATTTTTAAAATTTCTGGGCTTTAATTCCCAGAATTCTCTAGTCAGCATGAGAAACATGCAATTAATGCCAGATTACTGTTTATACCTAAAGGCCAAAAAACAACAACCAATCCCAGGCCTCCCTTCTCTGAAATTAAGAAGAGGCAGTCCTCGACAACAGTTCAGTTAGTAACCATTCAAAGTTACATGAGTGAAAAAAAGTGACATTTTTCACACTTTGACCATTGCAGCGTCCCCATGGTCATGTGATCAAATCACACCATTGGAAATGAACTCATATTTATGACTGTTGCTGCGTCCCGGGGTCATGGGATCCCCTTTTGCAATCTTCTGACAAGCAAAGTCAATGGGGAAGCTACATTCACTTAAGAACTGTGTTACTCACTTAACAACTGCAGTGATTCACTTAACAACTCTAGCAAGAAAGGTCATAAAATGGGGCAAAACTCACTTAAAAAATGTCTCGCTGTATTATCAAACTCGCTGACAAAATTCAGGTTCCTACTAAAACAAATCCTAGTACAAGTGATAGAGAAAACGTGAAACTTGGCAGTTCTTTTGGATGGATTTATCTGGGTCCATATAGGTTAAAATATAGATTAGGCTGCCTAAGGTCCTCTAATCAGATTATTGTGGAAAACACAAAGGTTTGCTGTGATCTAATCAACAAGTTGACAAAACTGGCAGTTTCCATGGAGAAGTGTAGTCAAGAACAGATGTTCTCAATGACGCATATATTTATATCAATTTCACTCAGAAAGAAACTTCTACAGAATTCATTAGTATTCCCCCTCGAGTATCTTATTTCTATTCCTTTATTAAAAGCATACAACTCATTAGGAGGCGGGCGTGTACAGTATTATATTCTTTTGGAGTTTTTTAAACATAGGTGTGGAAGGCGCAGGAAATAAACGTCAAGAAACCATCTCACGCCCCTGCCCCCCTCCCCCAACTGAACAACTTTATTTCCCTAATAAATGGAAAACCCTTAACAATTACTCAGAAGAAAAAAAATCCGGGGGCGGAGAAAGCCGTCCGGAAACTACAAAGCTGCGGATGGAACTTTGGAGTCCTATTAATTATTCATGTTTCAGCCACGCCTCCCTGCTTTTACTCGCAACCAATGAAAAACGAGAGAAGCCAACGAAGGTGGGGGCGCCCTTGGAGGAGGGAGGGAGGGATGAAGTTTGGAACTAGCTCATCAGAAGACAAAAAGAAAAAAAAAGACGATTTGCACTGTGATAGTACAAGTAGTAGCAGAAGCGGGAGGCGAAAGCTGTTTGCCCGATAAGGTAAGTTCAAATGAGCGAGAGGGTTGTAGGAAAGCTGTTACGATCTAGGTTAGGTGAGAAGGGCATGGGAGGATTGTTGGATATCTTGTCTAGGAAATGTTGCTTCTCCCCCTCCCCCCAGTATGTATTGATTACAAAGGAATGAATCACCTTATGAGGAACGCATATCCATGGTCTGGATGGATATGCAATGTATATATGTGTGTGAGTTTAGTAGGCCAGGGCTGAAAGAAGGGCCTGGGGGTGTTGAGCTTAAGGATGGAGAGTTAGTGAAATCTTTGAGAACAGGACATAGATTCATGGTGGTTTAATGCTAGCTAAGTAAAATAAATCTGCCTTTCCCAGCCTGAGATCTGTCAGTGGGTTGGACCACAGTCTATTATGTTTGGGCATCATGGAGAGGAAGTATTTGTAGAGGGTTGCATGAAGCTGGAGGTAAGTGGTGGGTAGATGAATGCCCTTGTTGAGTGGTTTAAAGGTGCTTGTGTGAATTGTTTCTAGAGTGAGTAAGATGGGAATAGGAAAGAAAGTGCTCCACTGACTGAGAATATGAGACCACACAAAATTGGAAAAAAGGCATCTTAGCTGTGTTAGTGTACTTGTGCATTTGGACAGCCCAGAGGAAAATGTCCTTGAATATTACCGAGTAAGATGGCTTTCAAGAAAGTGAAAAATGGTGTGTGAAAGTCCAAATGCTGCTTCTAAACATGCATGTAGGACAGCAAGCTTGCTATCACAATCTCTGGTGCTACTTAATATAATTACGTGGAGTTATGTAAGTGCCGCCAACTGCGGACACACCATGTGCATAATGAATAGCACTGTCTGAAATATTTTATGTGAATTAGGGTGTGAACAAGTGGGGCAAAAGACACCTCATGTTTTCAAAGAGATAGGTCCGTGAATCTAAATATGGGTTGTCTTCAGTTTTACATTAGAAAATGAAGGGTATAAGTACGGTACAGAAATAATTGTGGTGAACACATGCAAAGAAGTAAGCAGGGATCTGCAGCAGAACTGAATACTATATATCGATTCCATATCTTTTGGGGAAAAGATATCTTGTGCGGAAAAAGGGAAATAATTTAATAGTGTAATTGGATATCTTAAAGTGGGGGTAGTCTGTGAAATGTGCAACTTGCATGAGAATAAATATATGAAGTCTGTTAGTTAGCTCATCCGATAGAGAGTTACATGTATATCAGCAAGGAAGCTAAAATGGCACCTCATCAGTGTGTGAAGGAGGGGGGTAGAATCACTTACATCAGTACCCCAGGAAGTGAGTCTATTTTTCGGATAATCTGTGACACACTAACTCTGAAACATAGCGCTTCCTCTTCTGCTTCGTTCTGAAATATCTTATGAAACATTTTCAGTGATAGGGAAAATATATGAGGAAATTACAATGAAAGTTCCCCTAGTTTTCTGAAGTACATATCTTGTCTACATGTGGTTTTTATCTATCTGTTTTCTAAAGCTTAAATTCTGGATATGAAAGTAATAGCATTCTCCTGATCTTAGTTTGGCAACTCCCATCCACTTTTTCATACCTTCCCATCTCACACATATTGTGGACTCTCAATAGGCTCAGTTCTCATTGGTTTGGTTTGTATTTATTTCTCCCAATTAAAAATAAAATAAAATATACTCTCTTTTTTGGTTTGGTATTTCAATAGACCCTGGAATTCTGCAAACTTATTATGTTTTTCTCTCCTTATGCTTATGCACACCCATGTGCAAACATATTTTGTTATTATTGTATAGAATCCTGTTGATGAACATGGGAAGTTCTGTACAGTATAATTACAAGAATATTTCTAGGCTAGCTTTCATCACTCTGATACCATGCTAATATGTTGGAAGGGAAAAACTGGAGAAGAAAGTAAAAGAAATCTTCAGCCTTGAAGAAAAAGTGGATTAAGCTTTGTTAATAAATTAATACAAGTAGTCTTCCACTTACAACAGTTGCTTTCAACAGTTCAAAGTTACAACGACATTGAAAAATGTGACTTAGGACCTTTTTTCACACTGTTGTAGCATCCCCATGGTCCCGTGATCAAATTCAAATGCTTGGCAATTGATTCATATTTATGATGGTTGCAATGTTCCGGGGTCATATGATCCCCTTTTGCAAATCTTTTGACAAGCAAAAGCAATGGGGAAGCCAGATTCACTTAATAACTTAATTTAACAACAGCAGTGATTCACTTAACAAATGTGATAAAAAATGTTGTAAAATGGGGCAAAACTCACTTAACCAATTTTTCACTTAGCAACAGAAGTTTTGGGTTCAGTTGTGGTATATAGGTCTAAGTGCTATTGCTAATTGTAGTCATAAGTCGAGGACTCCCTGTAAAATGGAAAATTATGAGAGTTGGAAGTTCAACTGGCCTGGAAGATATCAGGTTGAGGAATGCTGTGACATCTCTAAATATAATTTAATATCTGTGAAATTACTTTATTCAGATGTTGAGCAATGCCTCGTGTTTCAGTTCTGATAAATTTTCAGGGGCATCCTCAGGATGTGTATGTTTTTGTATCAAAAAGTCAAGATAATAGTCTTTCTACTTTTTTATATCTATCACGTGCATTACACACACACACACACACACACACACACACACACACACACACACACACACAC